GAGGACCCGCGGGCAGTTTTGCTTCCAGGGGCGCACCTGGCTGCCCAGTCTCAGGGCGGGGGTGCAGCCCTGGAAGGCAGGAGCCTGGCTTCATTCATGTCTATATCGGTCTGCCTCCAGCTCACTGCCCGGCTCCCCAGATCCCAGGGAGTGCCAGTGGGTTCTAAGGCACTTTGTGGAGGCCAGCACCATGGTGCCCCACTCCTGCCGCCTGGGGGTGCTCCCTGCCAGCGGTGTGGGGGAGGGGGACGCCCAAGCATCCTGGTGTCCCTGACCATCCAGGGCTCCTGAGTGAGACCCTCCTGGCAGGGTGGTCTCCAGAAGAAGGGAGGTCTTATCTCACCCTGGACCTCCTTGGGAACAGGCAGGACATTCTTCTGAGCCTGGCTTTAGGCTTCTGGGAACTTCCTACTGCCCACACCCAGAGCCCCAGAGGGGAGCCTGCCTGGGCTCTGGTTGGTCTGGCGCAGGCGGGGTTGACCTGATCTTGGGTCAGATGAATGAAGGGGAAGGTTTGAGGGAACAACTCACCCCTATTCTCCCCTCCTTTGGTTATTTCTTTCCCCCAGATTTGGGGTGCAAAGTAGTTAATTCCTGCTCTGGGGGCCTGGAGGCCTGCCCTGCTCCACCCCACTCAGGAAGTAGCAGTTGAGAGGTGACAGTGTCACCTGGCCCACGTATGGACACCCCACCCCCCAATCCAGAAGGAGGGGGCGGGAGGGAGAGGAGGAAATTCAGCCAGAAAGGCATTTAGTAGCAGCGCCTGAACCCTTGGTTGGTTGTGTTGTCACGACTGGGTGGCATCGGCAGCTGCCCGAGTTCCTGGACCCAGGCCCCTGCACCTGGCCTGTGCCCCTGGGCCTCTGTGCAGGGGGCACGTGGATATGGGGGTGCCTGACACTTAGATAGGCTGGTAGGCCCAGAAGTTGCCCCAACACACCCTCCCTCCCCACACTCCCAGGCCTGCGCTGCTTCTCTGGGGCACTTGCCAGCTGATGCTCTTCTCTGGGGTCTCCTGAGCGCCAGGGACAAGGAGAGGAGTCTGCAGATGGGGGGCAGGGAGCCCTGGTGAGTGTTGGCCCCGTGGCTCAGAACTATCCCCATCTAGCTGTGAACACAGAGGAGGTTTTCAACCACAAACCAGGCCCAGAGGTTGGTGAAGCCCCACAGGCCTCTGAGATGAGTCTCCCTACAGGGAGCCCAGGGGAGAGGGCCAGAGGGGCACAGGGGCTCCGTCCCAAAGGGGGCAGGAGCAGCGCGGGAGGGGGCAGAGGCCAGCCTAGGAGCAGGTGCAGAGCTGCTGTCCCACCTGTGCCACACCCTCCCTCGCTGGCTTCCCCAAACCCTTTGTCTGGAGAGAAGACACACCCCAGGTGTCATGCACACCCTCAGAAGACCTGTCTGGCCATGCTCACCCCTTCTCTGCAGTGGTGCAGAGCCTGCTGTCATGGTGGCTGCCTTTGGGACTCGGAGTGGCAGGTGGGTGTGAGTACCCTCTCTCCTGTGCTCAGAGTGTGTCCTTGGCCACGTCTGCTCAGGACCCAGCGCACAGTGCTGAAGGGAGTCAGTGGGCCAGGCCGGGGGGCGGAGGGTGAGCCCAGATGCTGTGTCTGTGATGCTGCCATTGTTTAGCAGCTGACTAATGTTCATTGTTCATCACCAACAGAAAAGCACCCCAGGGAGGTGTGAATGCACCTTCGATTTCTCCTAATTGTTTCTCTCCTGGTGAATCTGGCAAATTGAATGGCTCCTGCCCGAGAGGGGGACCCACGGGGTGTCTGTGGTTTTCACCTGGGATGTGAGCCAGTGTGCGGCTGGAATGGCTCTGGCCCCGGTGGGGCTGGGCTGTCAGGGTCTGACCGTCCACGTGTGGCCTCACCTCCCGTGGACAGCGGGGCGAGAGTGTGGGCGGTGTCTTGAGAAGTTAGCTACACCTCACGTGTGTGCCCAGGACTGGGGCGAGGAGGACGGTGCATTGGTATCTATGGGTCACCGCCGGGCACGGGTCATAGATCCAGTACGTTCTCATCGAACTGATGTCCTGTGTGTTTCCCACTAGGACTCTGTGAGGGACCCTGAGCCTTAACAGTGTCGTGTGCATGTGGGCGTCAGTGAGGATGACTTTGGGAGGAGACGTAGCATATGCCTGACCCAGCTCCTTCCGGGACAGGCGGCCAGGTCCTACGGGGTAGGAAGCCTGGACACTGCTTCCCTTCTGTGCTCAGCCCTTGGCCTGAGACGGGGCCTCTGCAGCCTGTGGGAGATGCTCCCCTGGAGAGAGTGTTCTCAGCCTTCCCAGCGCGGAGCTGTGTGGACCATGGTGGTAACCAGGCCCTCTGGGTCCCTGGCCCACTGGGCGGGACCTGGGGAGACAGGTTTTCAGCTACTGATTTAGCCCCTTGGCTTTCTGCGTGGATATTGGAGAAAAGCATCATCTGAGGGGAAGGGTCATACTCTGGGCATTTAAAAAGGGGTGTGAGCCCGGCCGGTGTGGCCCAGGGGTTGAGTCGATCCATGCTCCAGGAGGTCGCCCACTGGACTCCCGGTTGGGTTGCAGGCTCAATCCCTGGTGGGGGCATAGGAGAGGTGGCCACTCTGATGTTTCTCTCGTATCGATGTTTCTATCTCTCTGAGATCAATAAAAACATTAAAAATAAATAAAAATAGAAAGGGGTAGGAGCGTGGGCTTTGGTCCTCCACGATCAGCCCTTCAGAACCACGTGTGTGTCTGGGTGGCAACATGCACGGGCGGGAAGGCTCCCTGGTCCACGCAGCAGGAGAGGCAGCCCCTGTTGGAAGGGAAGTGGGGACGAGGGGCCAGGAGTGGAGGGGGCTCCCTGGGTGCCCGCACCCTGCACTGAGGCTCAGCTGGCAGGGTCTCCCCCGTGATGCCCACCCCTCCCCACAGAGACCAGGTCTGCAGGGGCAGCAGCTGTGCTGGGCAGGAGGTAACTCAAGATCTGAGCTGGGATCATCTTGCAAAGGAAATGCCCTGAGCTGAAGATAACACCCCGTCCAGTTAACCCTTTGAGCTCAGGTTCTGTGAGCTGACGAAAGGGAAGAACTAGGAGGGAACACCTCTTGCCTACCATCTGAACCCTGACCCATGCCCCCCGGACACAGGAACTCAGTGCAGCAGTAGAGACCCGAGAGGGATGCCAAGAGGGACTTCCTGACAGCACAGCAGATGGGGCCCTGCAGGGAAATGGACAATTCCCGGGTTGGTCCTGGTGCAGGGGAGGGAGCAGGTGTGTCCTCAGGGACCTTCCAGAGTCCCCAGGGCAGAGCATTGGCCTCAGGCCCTGGTCAGAGGGAGGTAGCGTTGTTCCCAGCCCTACGACCTGGAGGTGACCCCATGGCTGCCCCGCACAGAGACGCAAAGTGGGGGCAGGTGGACTGGGCTCGAGTCCCAGCACTACCGATTGCCAGCCGAGTGGCCTTGGTTAAGTCGCTGTGTGGGACTCAGTGTTCCCACCTGTAAAATGGGCTTCTGTGAGCACAGATCTCAGACGAGGCCTGTGAAGCTCGATCAACAGATGTACGGGACGCGCTCAGCACGGCACTGGGCCTGTGACACCTGTGCAGTGAGGGGAGCTGCTCCTGTCCCTGTGCCTCTCCTCTGAGGGTCCCTCCCTCTGCCCCGGCCAGCTGGGCAGTGTCGGCTGGGCACCACCTGGAGCTGAGGCTGCTCAGCTGCCCCTGCTGCCTCGCTTTCCTGTGTCCAGCCCGGACTGCTCTGATCCTGAGCCCTGCCCCCCTGGAAGTGGGGGTGGAGGCTGCAGCCCTGCGGGCTCCGGGGGGGGGGGTGCTGCAGGCACCCCTGCTGCTGGGGTGCGGCGGGGGATCAGCTGCTGTGCGGTCTGTGTTGGGCACATCACCAAGGGTTCTCCCAGCATCACCTGCTCCCAGGCTGCCGCCCAGCGGGACACCGGGACCACCTGGAGCGCTTGCTGTGGGAGCCGGGCTGGCGGGAGGGCCTGGACCCTCCCTGCCTGCCCTCAGACATCCACATTTTGGGGTCCAGTGGGCACCAGGCCCCTCTGCAGCAGTTCACGGTGCGTCTCATTCAGGGAGCCAGGCAGGGGAGGAGCCTCCCAGGTCCTCTGCCCACCGGCAGGAAGCTCTTCTCCCAGGTCCCCTGCTGCAGGCGAGTCCTCTGGCCCACAGTGGACGTGTCCCGGCCTCCCTGCAGCCCCTGCGCCGGCCGGCCCTGCACAGCTGAGGGGCGAAGTGGAGGCCCCCGCACACCAGTCAGCCCGTCCGTCCAGGTCTCTGACTCCCCGTCCAGGGCTGAGCCAGGCCGAGATACAGCGTGTCCAGGAGGAGGGCCGAGTCCCCCCCATGTCAGCTCTCCCCCTGCAATGAGCCTGGCAGCTCCCTGGGGGGTGGGGCCGCAGCTGAGGACATAGCTGGAGGGTGACCCGCAGAGCTGACCATGGAGCCGTGTCCCAGGCCAGCAGGGAACAAGCTGCCCAGCAGCAGAATGACAGGAGGGGGGGCGTCCTTCCCAAAGCTAGAGCCTGACCCCCGGGATCTGGTCTGAGACGGAAGCAGGTCCCCTGAGGTGCCAGCACAGAGCTCCGGGCACAGGGCCGGTGTGGGCCTGGCGCTGGGTAGAGCACAGGGCAGGAAGCCTGTGGACTCCGTGGAGCCGCAGGGGGCGGGGAGGGGGTGAGATTTGGCAGGCAGAGCCCCTCCCTCTCCGGGGCCACTCCCACCCCCTCAGTTCTCTGCAGACCCCAGTTTTATTCCCACTTTATGAGGAGTCTCATTACCAAGCCACAGACAATAGAAGCCACTCTGCCCCTCTGGCCCGGATCTCATTAGAGAACATTAGTTCCGCTGGCTGGTAGCTCCGCTGGGACAGCTGCAGGCGTGGCCCGGGCAGCAAACAGGCCAGGGGCCGTGGGCACAGGCATGTGCCGTTGATCTGATCTGTGGGCTCACGTGGAGCCCTGCCCCTCCCCCCTCCTGGAGGTCAAGCTTCCAGAGCCGGAAACATGGGCCCCTCTGTCCACTTGGACCCTCGCTGCTCCCTGCAGAAGGCGACAAGGATCCAGCCCCTCCGGGGCTGCTCACAGGAGTCTCCTTCTCCGGAAGGGCCGGCTGAGAAGCTGGGCAGGTCCCCATTCCATGGCGGAGAGTCGGGCGCGTGGACAGCAGGCCCACCCACCCCGGGACTGCAGACCCTGAGACGTGTCCTAGCGGCAGAGCCGGACTGTGCCATCCGCAGCGGCCTCGGCCTCGATCTCCGCCCGGCTGTCTGTCCGGAAGGTGGGGGTAGAGACCCAGGGACCTCATGGGGGACGCATCACCCCTCCCTATAGATAGCTGCCCCAGCGGGCAGCCTTGGCGGGCGCCCTGGTCCCACCGTGAGGTGTACGACTTGCCCACAGTCACTGTGGTGGAGCCTGGGGCTCTTCCGCCCCAACAAGACTTTCTTAGCGGATGCGAACGCCTGTGGGTGAGCAGGCTCCTCCCTGCCTGGACCCTCCCTCTCGGCTTCTTTCTCCCCCGAATCCTAAGTGCCTGCTGTCCCCAGAGCACCGCAGGCTCAGGGTGTCACCTGCAGAAGGGAGGCCAGGGCAGGGACAGCTCGCCTCCCAGTGCTGGGTCTGGGGAGAGTCCGACCCACCGAGTGGCTCTTAGCGCACCTGGGTGCACCTGTCTGCTCCCACGGGGTGGGGGGTCCCCGCCTGGCGGCTACATGGGTGCTTCTTTGGACAGGGGGTGATTATAATAGTAACAGCCAACTTCTGTCAGGACTGCTCAGCCCTCGGACACTGTTTTAAACGTCGTACGTAGAACACTTCACGTCCCTAACAGCTCACGGGGACACACGTCTGTCCTCCCCCTTCCCGGACGGAAACCCAGGGCCAGGGCCAGGCCGGGGTGACGTCCCGGGGTAACAGCTCGTAAGAGCAGAGCCAGGATCCAGATCAGGAGTCAGGCTGTGTCCATGATACACCGCGTGGCTAAGCGGCCTCTCTCCTGGGTGGGGGCGGAGGGTGGACAGCTCACTGCCCTGGAGGGACGCCAGACCTGGCCCAGAGTGCCCACCCCGCAGGGCGCTGCCCCCCCTCCTGCTCCCTTTGCAGCTGCAGGAAGAACTTGGGGCCTCCCTGGGGCGTTGGGGAGCCCCGTGCTCATCACCAGGGAGGCCCAGCAGCAGGAGGGCCGCCCTGCGAGACCTCCCCGGTACTGAAAGCACCGTGCCCCCCCCCCCCCGGGTACGTCCTCAGGCCTCACTGTTGAGTCTGGGAGTCCTGGTGCTGTGTGGAGGGAGGTGTCCTGATATGGTCACTCTTTGGTACCCTGAGCCTTGGGCCGTGCTGAGGCCGTCTGGGGTCCTTCACCAAGAGGCTGGAGGGGGTGTCATGGCTTCTCCCCAATAATCTGCCTGGAAGCGCCCCCGGCAGGTGTTCCCGGGCTGCCCCGCCCTCGATGGTCCAGGGCTCCGCAGGTGACCCTCTCCAGGGCCTGTCCTCAGCTTCGGGAAGGTTCCGGTCTCTCTCACCCCGAGTCCCCACAGATGCAAGGGGGGGGCTCCAGCTGGGGGCGGGGAGGGGAGAGGAGGCAGGTGCTCACCTGCGCTGGCTGCTTGGCTCTTGGCTGGAAAGACTGGCGTTTCCTGGGCCCCAGGCGGGTTCGGGCCAGGGAGCCGGGGCCCAAAGGGACACCAGCACCAGGCGGGGCCCAGAGCTGCCCCAGAAAAGAGGGTCCTGGGGGCAGAACAAGCAAAACCCGCTCCGTGTTGGGGCCCAGGACTAAGAGTGGACCCGACGGCCCTGCAGGTCCCCACGTGGGCTCAGGCCTCAGAACTCCCTGGCAATTAGGAGGTAACGGCTGCAGAGCCGTCATCTGATCTGTTTCGGAGCCAGAGAGAAATTCCTCCGGACCCTCCGCTGCTCTGGATTATCCACGGCCCATTAGCTGGGTCCCGGCAGCCTCCCTGCCCAGACGCGGCCAGAGCGGCCCTGGGCCTGGGCCTGGACCATTTCCTGCACCAGGGCCTGCTCGGGAGGAGGGCGGACAGCCCACCGAACCCCATCCAAACCTGGGGATGGCCCCCCAGTGCAAAGGGACCAGCTCTGCCCAGGGCCGCCTGCCCGGGACGGCTCCCTCCTGCCCCCCACCCCTGCCCTCGGCCGACCTCCTTGGAGGGTTTTGAGTCAGTGGCTGCGGCTTCCACAGCAGCTGTCGGTAAACATCCAGCAGAGAGAGGGCCGGGCTTCTCCCCGAGGGCAAATAACATCAGAGCCAAAGGGCCGCACGGCACCGGTTATTTTATGATGACGCTGGCCTCTCCAGCCCCTGGAACTGTCCTGCATCTCAGAGTGATGGACGGGCCCCGCCCCCCGCTGCCGAGGCAGGGTGGCCACCCGGCTACCCAGACACCGCCTCCTGGGCCCTCCCCAGATGGGTGCCCTGTGTTCATGATGCCCAGAGAGTCATCCGTGCCCTGGGCCAGCTGAGCCCCTGACTATGCCCTGGGTGGATGATCGGGCCTGTGGGGCACTTGGGTGCCGCCCTCCCTGCCCTGTGCCTGCCCCTGCCAGGCCCCTCCACCCTGTCACCTCCCCGCACTCAGATGAAGGCCTGGCGGGGGGTCAGCTCAGAGGGGTCGTGATGGACAGTCCCTGGCACCACCTCCCAGCCCTGCTTGGGGACGGCTGGGACGGTCTCTAAGGCCCCTCTCCCCAGGGAGCCCGGGGCAGGGACAGGCGGTGCCATCAGGAGCTTCCCTGGAGACCAGCCCCTCTGGTCAGAAGCACCTTCACGGGGAGCACCCGGGTCTGCTCTGCGGCCCCCCGGCCCTGTCACCCTGGCACCTGTGCGCAGTGGGTGTGGGGACGATCGTGTTGCCGGCCTGTTCTCTCCAGCGTTTTCACGGGTCCGTGTGCAGGGGAGGGTCAGGGCGTGTGCGTGCACATGGTCACACGCTCCGTGGGTGAGCACAGTCTGCTCATGTCTGTCCTGGGAGGTGAGGGCTCTCACCCAGCTGCGTGGCGCGGGGGCCGAGGCAGGCGGACAGAGGTGAGACCGTCTGTCTGTCTGTCTGTCTGTCTGTCTGTCTGATCCCGGGCCTGCAGTGCCCCCAGCAGCCCGCCAGGGAGTGGGGGTCCGTCTTAGATCACTGCTTTGTCTGTAAGACCACTGACAACTGGCCTGATGGTTCCCCCAGAAAGTTGACGGGACCCCTGGTGTTTGGAGCCGGGACGCCCCTCCAGCACCGACGTGAGCTGTGGTCTGTCTCATCTCCTGAACCCGACCGCCCCTCACGGTCAACTGGGGATGCGCCCCCGGAGGTTGCAGAGAAGCCCCGTGCTGGGAGAGGTCCTCAGGCCACCTGGCTGTCCTCAGCTGCTGCTCACCCGGGACCCTGCGTCTGGGGGAGAGTCTCCCCCGGCTGCAAAGCCAGGCCCGGGCCCTCCCTGCAGGTCCTGGCCCCGCGTACTGCAGGGGCTCCGGCAGCCGGCTCCTGTGACCTCTCAGGGGCCAGCTCGGGTAGGGACGCCAGGGGCTCCGGCCACGGGAAAGCCAGCCCCTGCCCGGGCATCACCTGGGAAGACACCTGGTGGTCCTCAGGAGCCATCCTGTGCTCTCTTCTTAACAGGTGGTTGGAAGCAGGAGTCCTGCGCTCCGACCCAGGGGCCCAGGTTCAAATGGCAGCTGCCCTGAGGCCTGGTGCCAGCAGTGTGGGAAGCCGCCTGGTGCGGTGCGGTGGGCGAGGGGCAGACAGGCGCCGTCCTGGCCCACGTCACCGTGTGTGCCCGAGAGCCTCCTGGGTCCTGGCACTGCTCGGGCGCGGGCTGAGCAGCAGGCACGAAGGCCCTGCCCTCCTGGAGCTCCGTCCAGCATGGGATGGCATCCGCCCTCAGCTCACACCAGCAGGTGACCCTGGAGGTGCCGCCTCCTAATGCCCCCGGGCGGTGGCCTGGCTGGGAGGTGGGGAGAAGGAGCTGGGCCTTGTGGGGTGCATTCTCCTCACCCTTCAAGGATGTTAAACATCTGAGCCCACGTGTCCCCTCCCAGTGGGGCCCTCAGCCCAGAGTAGCCCCTGCCCTACAGGGGGAGGGGAGGGGGACAGAAAGGGTGAGTCCGAGAATCCTGGAGTCTCAGCATTGGCGGGTAGTCCAATAATGTAACGTCCATTCACTTCTCACAACCCCTCTGCCACATCCCTACTGATTGGTCGATCATCCAGTCTCTGCTTGATTATCCCCAGTGATGGAGAACTCACCACCCTACTTAGAAACCCATACAGTTTTCTGACCTGCCCCATTGTTTCTTGCACTGAGCGAAACTCTAACGCTGAAGCTGCAACCCCTTCGGCCTGTGTCTGCGTCCGTGGGCTCGTGCGCGTCGGATTTTGTGCACGGGGTCCTTCCGACATTTAGATGGTCTCTGGTCCCAGCCTCCTCTCCCACGATTGTCTGCACCCCAGTCATAGGTGTACTGCTCCGACATGGGCCGGCCGGCCCGCGGAGGTGATCTGGGGTGTCCTCACCCCAACAACTGCCCAAGGATCCAGGAGGCCTTCAGTGGCTTGGCTGCCTCCCCATGCCCCCTCCGTCCCACCCCTTCCCAGCCCTGTTTTCCTTCCGATCCACAGTGAACCGCAGTCAAAGCTCCACTTACTCTGGTGGGAATGAGGGATGAAGTGGGTGGGGGGACAGAGGGCCTGAGAGAGGGAGCATGTTGAATGGATTCAGGGCTCAGAGCAGACTGTGGGGACAGTGGGGTGGGGTGGGGCCTGGGAGGCAGGAATCCTGTAGTCATGTTACCCCCGGATGGAAGGGTGAGCCCCCTGATTCTCCAAGCAGACTGTGCCCCATTGGGGTGGAGGGGGCCAGGTGAAATGTGTGTGAGGTCACCTGGTGGGAGGTGACCTGGCAGCCTCTTATGTCACCCATGGGTGCTTTCTGACACGATGCCCTGGCCCCATGGCGCCACGCTGGGCAAGGGAGCAGGGCATGTGCAGGATGAGGTGCCCCCATCAGATGTGGGCCAGACGTCCCCCGCATTCTGTCCGGGCACCAACAGCTCCCAGGCAGACCCCGGGGGCTCTGCTTTGGTAAGAAGGCTTAGCCATGGGTTCCTGTGGCCTGGGGTTAACCCAGAGGCTCCTTCCTGAACCCCAAGAGTGCTTAGGGTCTGCCCCCAAAGAGCCTTCACCCGCTCAGCTCCCACACCCCTGCCCCAAAGCCCAGGAGGTCAGCTTGGAGCCCTCTCCCCTGTCCCCCTGCGTGCTGCCCCTTGCCCCTTCCCTG